TATGCCTCTGTGGAGTCCTAGCTATAGGTTCAGAGAGAGGTCAGAGGCAAGAGTTCTGCTGACTTTCAGTAAGGTGTCAAAGTTATTTGGAGGTTTGCAGAAACTCTTGTCTGTGGGCACTGATGCCCTTATTGTTGCATAGTCACCCTCCTTCACCAGAGTTAGGTCTGAGGTTTTAATCACTGAAGTGAGAGAATGAGGTTGTCTGAGTAAATGCTCTTTACCTATTCATGGTAAAATCTGTGCAAGGCTTTAAGTATACAATGGTGAGCTGCACTTTCCATCAGCACATAGATATATTGTTGAATATTTTGTTTATTTTTACTGTCTGGGATGTCTACTTTAGTAATGATTTATACAGAAAGAAAGACCTTAAATCAGGAGAAGATAATTAAACATATTCTGAGTTTTTCTGTGGTGTTCATGCTTCTTTATTTTGTAAACCAGAACATGTTTCTTTTCTCAACCCTGCTATGAAGTCAGGGAATAATGTTTCCTCTAGTTCACACTTAAGAAACCAAGGTCCTATGAGACCAAGGTAAAGGGGTGATCCCATAAAAACAGAGGAGGTAACAATGCCTGTCTCACCCACATTCCCTGATGATAATCTGTCCCAGAGTTTTGGGCACATGCTTAAAATTATCCAATGATGTATTTGAATTTTTATTGTGGTATCCTGAGTTTCTCTTGGGGTTGAGAAGAGAAGAGGAGGAGAAGGGGTCAGGTAAGAAAGAGAAGCGTAACAGCAGGGTGATGTGGAAAAACAGATGAATTTTCTCCAGCCAGCATCATTGAGGTCTTCAAAAGCTCTTGGTGCACACAGTTTCATCCAAAGTGCTGTTGAAGGGCCTTTATGGATGGATTCAATGAATCCAGAAATAGGGCTGAGTACCATTCCAGTATCCCACTTGTGCCTGTCCACTGGTGGTGCTGGCTTTGTGCTTTGCCTACCCAAACCTTCATGTTTTGTATTCATTCTGTGTCCCTTCAATCCTTGCAGTTACCTGATATTTCCAGAGCCTTTTTATATCCCCCACACAGGCTCTCTTAATACATGCAAACAGTAAAGTCCAGACAGAAACTTACTCCTGACATTTCTGAAGTGCAAAACTATAGTAACAAAAAGAGTGAGTCCTCAAATAGGCTTTGAACAACTCTTGAGAAGCATCATACATGGTGCACAGAGCAGAGAAAGTCAACTTACCTATTAGAGGGACTGAGTCAGAAGTTGCAGGCATGATCTCCGCCACAAGCAGCATGAATACTGTCAAGGAAAGCAGGACAGTGATACCTGCAGGGAGTGAACATGGATGGGAAGGATAAGCAACACAAACTCTGCAGCTGCTCCTCTGATGTCTCCGCTGTTAAATATAAACTTGTCCTGATCTACAGCTAAGCCAAACCCATGACTTCACGTCTGTTAGTGCAGATGAGAACTTCCACAAAATAGAGCATTTTTGGATGCAACCCTATCTGCTGTCTTTTTGCTTTTCCCAATTACACACAAACATTTGCTCCTCTTGAAGTCATGGAGAAATCTTTCCTACTGAGTGAAATTAAGCTTGCAGAACTGGTGAACTACACTGCTTTTCAAAACATAAACCAAACAAAGCCCAGATGGTTGCTAAGGGCTAGGAGACACCTGCTCAGACACGAGTCTAGTTTTTAGCTATTGCATATTATGTAACCCCCTCCAAAAAGCAGCAGCTTGTTTTAAAAGAAGATCTTTGTTTGCTCTATCTAGAAAGAGTCTTGCTAAACCTAACTGCTTTGGTACTGAGAAATCACAAGTTCAATGAATGAAAATTATCTCCTATTTTTGTGTCAACATTGCTCAAATAACTCTTTTCCTTGCCTCCAACCTATCTTTCATAGACAGCCATTGTGTCCTACATAGCCTGGTTTACTTCTTTTAAGACAGGCTGCTCAGATCCCTGATTGTTCTACTAATAATTCATATGATTTAAAGGTCTCTGTCCTGATTGGAACTGTGCACAGTTAACTCTTAAGGTCACCCCGTGGCCAGTCCTGTGTATTTCCAGCTTTCCCTTGTCTTCTCCTGGAAGCACTCCTCCTGTCTTTATCAACACGCGTAACAGTAAATCTCTTTTAGCCCTTCTTTGGCTGTCACTGCTTTATGTTCATGGGGATTTATGCCTTGGTAATTTGGGAGCTGAACTTGGAAGTTGAAAATCCAATGCTCAGCTGCTGTTGCTCAACAACACTTCATTCTCTGTGTCTTAGTATGTCCTATCTGAAAAACAGAGTCAATCAGTTGTGAAATGCATTGAGATGTACTAAAGAACAGAATAACAGAGATGACAGAGTACTATCACTGCTGCCTGTGCCAGCGACAAGCTCTGTATCATTCCAGGTTAAAATCCAAAAGATTTCAGCAGTGTTTAGCATAGGATGTGTGACTGAGACACACAGGACTCTTACCCTGGTTTCAGCAACCAAACAAGTGCTTCTGTTGATTCTTCAGGGGAATCTTTATTCACCAAGCACCATGAGGTATTTATTTTCCATTTTATAGGAAGTGCTTACAAAAGAAATTAATTCTTTAGCACTTACCTAGAGAAATCTTCTCCCCTGAATCAGCTGGCAAAAGGAAAACAAGCAGTGCCAAGCCAGATATGAGAACGCAGGGAATGAGTAGGTTCAAGCCATAGTAGAGGGTGCGTCGGCGCATGGTGATGGTGTACGTCACGTCTGGGTATGGTTCTTTACAACATTCATAGTACATCTCATTCCTCTTTCCTGGGACACCTACAGAGAGGGAGATCAGAGCAGTGTGAAGAAGTGCAGGACTCCCAGGTTTCCTCTTGGAATAGGCCAAGAATTAATGGTTTATGAGCTAATATGTAGCACCTCTCACACACATTGTGCATTGGAGTGCTTCAAAGTGTCCTGTGGCAATTGATAAAGGGGAAAGACAACCCCCAGTCAGTTATCAGGCAAAAATAATTTTCTAACACTTGTGGTGAATGATGCACAAATGGATGAATAGATTAAAGGGACAAAGGACAAAGTGCATCTATTAAATGTTGTTTGAAAACTGAAATATATCACTAGAGGGTTAAATGAGACAAGGTTAACTCAAGATAACTCAAGTGGGTCAGTGTCTTCAGCAACATCTGACTCAACAATGCAAAATGACTGCTGTTCCTAGTCCACTTTCTGTGTTTTCTAGGGTTTATTTTCATGCTTTCTTGCTATCATAGATTCCTTTAAATTGGAAAAGACCTTTAAGATCACCAAGTCCAACTGCTGGCCTAACACTGCTAATACCACCAGTAAACCATGTCCCTAAGCACCTGATCTACACATCTTTCAAATACCTCCAGGGAGAGTGACTCAACCACTTCCATGGTCAGCCCCCAATGCCTGACACCCCCTTCAGTGAAGAAATTTTTCTTAACATCCGATCTAAACCTCCCCTGGTGCAACTTGAGGCCATTTCTTCTTGTCCTATCTCTTGTCACTTGGGAGGAGAAACCAACACCCTTTGCAACCTCCTTTCAGGCAGTTGTAGAGACCAATAAGGTCTCACTTGAGCCTCCTCTTCTCCACACTAAACATCCCCAGTTCCCTCAGCCACTTCTCACAGGATATGCGCAGTATTAGAGGTGCAGACTCACCAGTGCCAAGTACAGGGGGACAATCACTTCCCTAGTCCTGCTGGATAGTCAGGATGTCACAGGACTTCTTGGCTACCTGGGCACACTGCCAGCTTATATTCAGCCGGCTGTCGGCCAACACCCCCACGTCCTTTTCTGCCCGGCAGCTTTCAGGCACTTG